TTTTGGAGGTTCGGATGACCCACAAATCTACGAGCTGCTTCTTCTCCTTCGAATGCTACGACTCTCTCTGTCTCTATCCCGCGATTGACTAAGCCGAACTCTTCAAGTTGCTGAAACCCCATAGCCACTGAAGCTGGAAACATATTTTGGACGTTCGGATGACCTACAGCTCTCACGGACTGCAAGTTTTGAAAACTGAGAATATCTCGGGGATCTTTGTTCCACACATGCTTCAATCTTGATAGATTCTCAATATTCAATTCGCTTAACATGGTGTCCTGCGCACCGTGTGACTTTTCGATGTATACTTCTCCAAGAGCAAATATCATTTCTACACTGTGACAAGCAATTACTTTCAACACCTCTAGTGATTTGCATAATTTTCCTAGTATATCAGATGAACCAACTGTTAATAACTTCCCACAATGTCCAATAACCAACGATTTTAGGTTGTGAAATGAAGCTGCATGAGGTTGGTGGTGCCATATGATCCTCAAGTTCTCCAATCCAATGATTGTCAATTCTTCCAAGCAGGGAAATGCAACCTGCATAAATTTTCGATTAATCAAAATTAATGCGGGATCAAAATCAATTAACAAAGTTGAAGGCAAAATGCAAGTAAGTATTCTAAGACATGAAAAACGGAAAATGAAGGGAATTAAAACAAGCAAAAGAATCACCTTCGCATCAAATAGAGGTGATTTATAAGCATTTTCTCCATTTTTACTTGTTCTCACGTGACTTGTGTCTCCAATGGTAGGACTAGAGATGAACGTCTCCAACAAAGGGCACTTGACTAGAGCAAGCTTTGTTAGGGAGGGGAACTCTGAGCAATTTCGATGGCAGAATCCTGTGAGTCTGGGAAGGCCTTCAAGCCTTAGTATTTCAAGGTTACGAAGAAACATCATTTCTTCTTCTTCTGCTATTCCTTCTGTCACTATTATCTCTTTCATCATCTTACAATCACGAATCTCTAGCCGTTTGAGTTGCCCCAGACTTTTAGTCCTTGATTCAATGCTTACTTCTCCAAGTTCAAATATCTTTTCTAGACTGTCACAAGCAATTACTTTCAACACCTCTAGTGATTTGCATAATCTTTCTAGTATATCAGATGAACCAATAGTCAATAATTTCCCACAATTTCCAATAACCAACGATTTTAGTTTGCGAAATGGATCTGCAGGAGGTTGGTGGTGCCATATGATCCTCAAGTTCTCCAATCCAGTGATTGTCAATTCTTCCAAACAGGGAAATGCAACCTGCATAAATGTTCGATTAATCAAAACTAATGCGGGATCAAAATAATTAACAAAGTTGAAGGCAAAATGCAAGTAAGTATTCTAGACATGAAAAACGGAAAATAAAAGGGAATTAAAACAAGCAAAAGAATCACCTTCGCATCAAATAGAGGTGATTTACAAGCATTTTCTCCATTTTTACTTGTTGTCACGTGACTTGTGTCTCCAATGGTAGGACTAGAGATGAACGTCTCCAACAAAGGGCACTTGACTAGAGCAAGCTCTGTTAGGGAGGGGAACACTGAGCAATTTCGATGGCAGAATCCTGTGAGTTTGGGAAGGCCTTCAAGCCTTAGTGTTTCAAGGTTACGAAGAAACATCATTTCTTCTTCTTCTGCTATTCCTTCTGTCACTATTATCTCTTTCATCATCTTACAATCACGAATCGCTAGCAATACGAGTTGCCCCAGACTTTTAATCATTGAGGAGGTAAATAGATATTTCAAATTATCACATCCAAATACAGTCAAGTATCCTACACTCTGAATGACAGAAGACATTGCTGATGAAAGTTGTCTGTTGAATATTTGTTGCATGTTCACTAAGGACAGTACCAACCGCAGAAAGCTGGAAAACTCAACCTGCAAAGTACAATTCTAACTTCATGAATACATTTTTTTTATTAAAAAGTATTAAAAATTTCATCATTAATGATTCCAAAGCAATGACACAAAAAATGACTTCACATTAATTAATACGACAAAGATAAAAGTCACTTAATTAAAATTCTTTCAAAAGAATGTCTTACAAAGATGTACGTTCAAGCTAAATCATTATCAATGAATCTGTTTATCCTTTAACCATAATTAGGAGTTAAAAGTGGGCTTAGTTAAGCGCAACTTTGCATCCATTCCTTCATTTTCTGGAAGGGGAAATCATCCTAGTTCAATGCAGAAGAGACTTATATTTTATCCATTTTTTATGGTAAGACTTAATTACAATTAATCCATAAAAGCAAGAGAATATTGGCTTCTGAATTCTGAATTCACTTAGTTTTAGCCACCTAATTAATGAAATCATAAATAAATGCATTTAGTTGACCATAAGTAAATTTATTTATATTGATAGTTGAAGTTGAATAATCCAAATTTGCACGTACTCCATACAAGCGCAGGAAAAGCACCTAAAATGTGTAGAGAAAAACTCTTCGTGAAGAAATTACTGACCTGACCACTGAAAAAGGGCTCGGTAGGGATATCAGCATATTGCTTGCCAGTCCTTTCTTTACTTCCACCTTCAACTGCCTCCTTCACTTGCACTGTTGAAAATGTTGTAGGAAATGTGACCATCTTTGGACAATCAATTATACGCATGTCTGACAAAGATGGAAACTCAAGTCCATAACTTGCCGAACAGAAACTTGTTAAGTTGAAACATGACCCCAAATTAATGGTGACTAGCAGAGGGAATATCATCTTATTTTCTGCTACCTCCGTACTTCCCTCTTCTGTTATTATTTTCTCAATCATTTCACAGTTTTGTACTTCCAACGTTCGGAGATCAGCAAGGCTCAATGCCAAGGAAGGAGTTAAGAGGTATCTCAAGTTACCACAATTACAAATTTTGAGGACACGAAGGCATGTGAAATCCAAGAATTGTTTAGGATTCTTGTTCCACACTTCCATTAACCAAGGAAACTCTGATAGGTTCAAATCTTGTAACCCAGCATATCCGACCTAGCAATTTTTATATATTAGAAGAATCCAAATAAACTCACAGATAAAAATGAGGCATTACAATACTGATGTAAATGGGTTGGGAGCACTCCTTGTACCCCATTTTTCAATAAATTTTTTGCTGTTCAAAAAAAAAATTGATAAAAATGAAAAGAAAGGAAAAAGAAGCAATAGCTTTATCTTCTGGTTGATGAAAGAAAATTACAGTTTAGAGATAAGGATCATTTATGGCTCAATTCATACCTTTTCTTTGTACAATTGATTTATGGTCCTATTCAGCTCAACCACCTCCCGTCCTTCGTCGTCTTGTTGTGTAAATATTCTCTGCAGGCTTGGAGTCCTCACGACTCCGCGACAGAAGGTCTCAAACTTGGGACATTGAACCACCATTAGTGCTTCCAACAATGGGAGATTGAATGTGAAATTTGTGAAATTTGTAGAACAAAAGCTTGCGAGTCTTGTTAAGCCCTTGAGTTTCAAAACTTTTAATTTGCTGAAAACAATCACATCTGCTAATCCAACTCCTTCGCCTCCAACTATTTCTGTCAGAGAGTGGCACTTCTCTACACTCATACTTTGGAGTTGCACCAGACTTTGGGCTGTTGCAAATGAAAATAAGTTTATTAACCCTTCACAGCTTTTCACCGACAAAGTGGTGAGATTTTGGAAAGATGCGGTAGATTCTGATAAGCTGATCAAACTGTCACAAGACAGCACTTTAAGAGATTTAACATTTTGAAAGAGTAAATTTGATGGTGGGCCTTGTTTCCATATATAGTTAAGCTTAAGAAGTTGATTCAGCTCCAACTTTGTAATCTTATGCAAGCGTCCTCCCACATCTTTTTCCGAAGAATCAGTGGATGCTACAGGTGGGAACAACTCCTTGATCTCAGAACAACCTATTTGAAGCTTTTGTAAATTGCAGAACCTTTCGAGGAAGATGATTGGTAAAGCCGCTGAATCACCGTGAATACAGCGAACTTCAAGAGATTTAACATGGAAAAAGATGTTTTCTGGAAATGGGCGGTTACGTATCATTTCAATGTCATTGCCTGTCAAGGATAGTTTCTCCAATCTAGGAACGACCTGAAAGCCAATCCAACAAAACAAAATAAGAAAATTATTAAAAATTATTAAATGTATTATTGACATATAACAACTAAAGGTATAATTGGCCGCCCTTGCATGTGGAACGTGGCAGGATGGATTGGGAAAGAACCACTTCCGAAGATGAACATGAACGGATAATTCTCACTTTTCTTAATATTTTGTATTTTATGTTTTTTTTTTTAATTGCATATAAAGAGTATGGGGCACAAATTCCAATACAATGACTTGGCAACAAATTAATTTTATAGGCATTTTTGTACTTCTCTAATTAGTTTGACCTTAACAGCAATTTTTATTGGCAAATTTTAATAGTGTAGTAGAATATTTTTTTAATTAAAATAAAAGATTTTAAGTTTAAGTAATATGACATGTGATTAAGATGAATTAAGAGATACAAATTATTTTTATTATATAAATTAAGATAAAAAACACTTTTTAATTTTATAAAATCTTATAAAAAACAAATATTTGGATCTTAAAAAATTAAATTTTATTTAATATGATTATGGTTTCTAATTTTTAATTTTTGTTTTTATAAAATTTGCAACTTTTTAAAACCAAAATTAAAAACCAAAAATTAGTAATTTGTTTGAAACAAATTTCAATACTAACGATTAAAACTATAAACTTGTTTAAACCTTCTCAACCTAGGGTTTTGAGACTTTACTATGGCTTCCTCTCTTTTCATTCTTCTCCTCCATTCTCTCTTTCTATTTTTCCTTTCTATTAAATTTCTTTAATTCCTCAAGTTTTGGCTTAGGTTTTTCATTTTTCTAGCGTCGTCTAAGTTTTGATTTTGTTTCTTGGGTTTTTGAGTCCTCTTCGATGGTAGTCCTACCCTGATGGTCACTAGCGAAAAGCAGTGATAGTTAACTTCATGTGATGAAGTTTTTGAGGAAGGAGCTGTCGGACATGCCTAAAGGGATGGATGAATTAGTGGATGAATTGGGAAGTAGGTTGTCCTTGTTGAAGGAGCAGGAATCTGGCCTGTACAGAGCTGGGATGGGCTTTTGACGGTGGCGAATTCAAAGTACAATTTCACAATGGTGTGCCAATGCGTTTAAACGCTTGGTGGTGGCAACAGCTGGGTGATGTTGGCTAGAGGATTATTTGGGTACAACAATGCACGCAGAGGAGGCACAACAATGGTGCTGGAGTGAATTTCAGGAGACAAGGGATTGACAATTTGGCACAAGTTTTAGTCAAGAATTGCGTAATTAGAGATTTTTTAAATTTTAATGCTTTGGATGAGGGGTTTTGGTGGTGAATTAGGAAAATTAGGAAAGGGACTCTTTTAATTTATGTTATTAAAATTTTGGTTGTAATGAAGATTATTTACTTACTCTCTCCATTCAACTTTAACGGACTTAAATTTTAATTTAGGGCATTTAAATTTAGTTATTTATTTTTTCTTTGGGAAGAGTTTTATATAAAAAAACAAATTTTAAATTTTTTTATTTAAGAATATGAACTTTTTGAATTTTTAAATCAATAATAAATTCACTTCTTTTATTTAAAGACGCAAACTTTATTGTTGTTTCTATTTAAATATGCAAACTTTGCCTCATTTCGATTAAGGTTGCCATTTTCTACATATCATTTCTATCTAATAAATCATTAAATAAAAAAGTACAAATTTTGTATCCTTA